GAGAAATATCACTAACAAAATGTCTCCCATGAGCTCCACAAAAGCAGAGTACAACTACTATATATACAAGCTTTTATATTTGGTCAAAGTTGAATTAATAACAGACTAATGGATACAATATTCAAACAGCAGTTACTTCTAATAACCTGGGTTAAAAAGTGAGAAAAAGGATTAATGTGACTGACACAGACCAGCAGATTCCTCCAACTCTAGACCTGCTTATAGGTCACAACTATACAAACCTGTAAGAACACACACACACACACGTGGGGAAATGTTTTATTCTGCAGGGATGGAGGAGATCCACACCTCGCTTTAGGAGAGCAGCCGACCACCAGAACCAGGAGAACACCTGGAAAACATGCATTTATCAACTCCACTCTCTTTTCTACGGCTGTTACTGAGCTAACATCATGCCTTTTTAAAGTGTTTCACACAGGATGAAGCAGAGTCCAGACTCAGAGTCTCTGTGGAGCCAGATGGAGGGACTAAACCCTAACCCTAACCCTATCCCAGATGGAGGGACAGCAGCTCCCTGCTGACCAGCTGGACTAAACTTTGGGACCTAACACTGACCTGTTGTTAAGGCAGCCTCAGGTTTCAGTCAATCATCATCATCACACACTCTTAGCACATCTACTGTTTAGAAAGAAAACTAATCACATTTAAATATGTAGAAGTTGGGCCTTTTGACCAGGTCCTCTAGATTATTTTCTGTTTCTCATGTGTCCCCATGGAATAAATAAAGGACTGCCCCCCCCCTGCCTCACCACCTGATCAGACTGGACCTCTGTTACCTCCACCAGGTGTCCATGCTCCAGTCCATCAGGGATGAAGAATGATGAACAGCTCAGGTCTGTCCGGGTGTCCAGGACCTGTCCAGACCATGTTAAACCCTTTAAGCTTTAATAGGATTAAATAATAGGATAAAACAAAATGATTAAAGAAGAGTCTCCCCAGACCTAACCAGCAGCAGCAGCCATGTCAGAGCGGGGCCTTCCTTCCAGACTACTCCAGAGGAAGAAGAGAACAGGCCAGCCGGGGGCTCACTGAGACCCCCAACACTCTGAAAAGAAAGGAGGAGAGCAGAGGAGGGGGGGACTAGAGAAGGAGGGTTAGTTGTTATTGACCACAGTAATCCATCTGTCCATCTCTAACAGAAAAAATAAAGCTGGAGGGGTTAATACAATGAGACTGGGCCTGGACTCGTTTGGAAAATACAGTTTCTCTCTGTTTTACTTTTACAATTTATAATCCTAAAAAAGGTCTGCTATTTTAATAATGAGCACAACTGTTTAAATGCAATAGTCCCTTAAAAGGCACATATTCACTAAATAAAAGAAGCTGATTGAATATTTAATATAACAATGAACATTCATTGCATGATGACTTAATTAAATGATTTTATTTTGGATTTTGATTTCAAGCGGAAGTGTCTAATTATTTGGAAATTAGTATTCTTGGATTAACTCAGAACTCAAGATGTTATCTGTGGAACCACACTATCAATATGACACACTTTATAATAAGATTTTAACCTCTGTCCTTTTTATTGGAGCTCATGTTTGAGACCTAAAAACTGGAATGGCTGCTTCACTCAGAGATGAGCACAAACTAAAACCAGGTGCTTTGGATGTTAGTACTCACAAATCCATGGGTTTGGTTAGCAGAGGCAGAAAGGGGGATGAGAGTCCCACGATGCTAACAGCAATGAGCTTTAACCCAAGTTAAGTCACAGTGAAGCAGCTCAGTAAGACCGGACTCACCTGAACACAGACAGACCAAAACCGTCTGTGGCTCTCTATAGTGAACGCCTTCTGGAAGCACATCACCCAAACTGAGAATTAATATGGAACTTTATTTCATACTGAATAAGCATTAGCTTGCTTTATCTTCACAAATATCTAAATGCTACAGCTATGACAAACTGGTACAATGGTACTGAATGCTACAAATGAGCAAGTAGCTAACCATCTCACACATCCAGTTTCATTAAACTACTAAAGTTAAAGTACAAATACAGGCTTATACATCATATTCAACACTTTCAGGTCACACTTGTTTGTCAGGACCAGGAGTAGTCGACGTCCATCATAAAACTATATGACTCTCTACACCAGCGGCCTCCTGTCTCAGCTTTCTATCCATGCATCTAAAAGTAGCATCATCAGCGTCATTAGCATCAGCATGTTGTACTTACAAAAAAACAAGTATGTACTTACCACCTGATCAGACTGAACCAATGGTCAACATCACAGGGTTTCCATGGTCCAGGGATGAAGAATGGATGAGCAGGTGGGCCCGCCCGTGTGTTCTGGAGCAGTCCTGTCTGTGTTAAAACCCTTTATCAGAGGTAACAACCACTAACATTCCTGCATCAGTAGCATGATCAGTACAAACAGCATCTTTACCAAAAACCAGCATCATTCAGCACCAGCATTATTAGCATGAGCATAACTGGTATCATTAGCGTCACTAGCGGTAGCATCAGTAATATCATCAACATCAGCAACATCAGTATCATCAATAGCACCAACATGTTGAACTTAATAGTATGTACGTACCACCTGATCAGACTGGACCTCTGTTACCTCCACCAGGTTTCCATGCTCCAGTCCATCAGGGATGAAGAATGATGAACAGCTCAGGTCTGTCCGGGTGTCCAGGAGCTGTCCGGTCCATGTTAAACCCTTTAAACTTTAATAGAAAAAATACAAGTAAAGATATGGCTCCCACCAGCAGCAGCCATGTCAGAGCGGGGCCTTCCTTCCAGGCTGCTCCAGAGGAAGAAGGGAACAGGCCAGCCGGGGGCTCACTGAGACCCCCAACACTCTGAAAAGAAAGGAGAGAGGAGGAGTGAAGAAGAGTCCCCCCCAAAAAAATAATTTTACTGTAAGTGACAAATGTGAAAGAGGATGAAAGAATGAGGAGAGAAGAGAAGGAGGGTTAGTTTTTATTGACCACTGTTATCAACCTGTCCATCTGTGACACAGGTTCTTATGTAGTCAAAATATATAACGCTGGAGTGATTTATACAATGGCATTGGGCCTGGACTCGTTATGAAAATACAGTTTGTCTATTTTACAATTTATACTCTTAATACATTTTTATATTTTAAGAATTAGCAACAAAACTGTTCTTTAAATGCAATCACCCCGTAACAGGTACTTATTCACATAACAAAAGGATTGAATATTTACTGTAAAATTAAGTTGCACATGTAACCCACTTGCAGGTGTGTACACGTCACAGGCTAGGTTCATTCATCCAAGTGCACTTTTCCAGGTAGACTCAAGGTGGCGTCAGTCAAAGTGACTGGCACGTTCATACCATAAACAGATTGGTAGTCCGCTGTATGGGGGTGTGGAGACTCTGGATTCAAGCTGGGAGGCTCGCCATCGATGGGTCAGAGAATCAGCCTTCCTGGACATGAGGGCTAGAATCTTCACTTTTCTTGGACTCATCAAAAAGGTCCTGACCTGCACAAACAGGTTTATAGTCTAAACTCTTATATATTCATCTCGTTCATTATAATCAAAGCGTTGTAAAACTATAAATGCATTTTCCAAATATTAACTGTATAAAGTTATAACAAGCAGATAACAGTTACTTTGGTGACTTTCAATTATTACCGTGTCAGAATAATTCCATTCTAACCCACTACAGACAAAACATTAATTGAAATGTGATTATTTGGTCACACTTTAAACAATTTACCTTACTAATGAATTGCAAATTATGCTTCAAAGTTAAATGCATGGGCCGCAGCTATAGCCTAATGGCTAGTGCGGGCGGCCCATATGCGGAGCCTCTGCTCGCAAGCGGGCGGCCTGGGTTCGATTCCAGCCCATGGCCCTTTCCCGCAGGTCTCCCCCTCTCTATCTCTGCCCCCTTTCCTGTCAAGCTACTGTCATTAAAGGCCACTAGAGCCCAAAAAATCTTTTAAAAAAAAAGAAAGTTAAATGCATAAACTTTGTTCAACATTTATGCAACATCTCCGTTTAACTCTCTTTTTAACATATTTTTAAATTTTAAACCAAAATACATTGCTTTCAGCTCCATGAATTAACATTAATTACATTTTTACTGTCTTTAACCTATGAAATTAACTATTTACAATCAAATACCTTTCATGTAAATCTATATGAATTTACTGTAGTAATCCTGCGTGCATTACTGCAGATATTTGGTTCAATAATTTAATAAAATGTCCACAGTAACATAAATCCTCTGTAAATTAACTTAAAGTGTGCAAAATAACGTTTTTCAATCACTATCATCTAAACAACATGACATGTGATCATACAGTAATTAACACAAGTGAGAGCTAGCTTACCAAGGGATGGTGTTGTGTTTACCCACTCACTTTGCTCCCTCTGTGCTCATCCACGCTCTAGACAGGATTTTTACAAAGTTAACACCATTAACTGACACAACCAAAAGTTTAAGCACAGAAAAATATGGTTTTCATAACTTTTCCTCTCTTTTCTCATCACACGTGAGTGAAAGAGCAGGGCTCTCTCAGTCAATTAACGAAGTTAAGCTAGATGCGCTTTTCTAAGCATCGCACTTCCTGTATTATCAAAATAAAACTTCCGGTTTTCAAAATAAAACCCAGTATCAATAAAAGTATGTAGAAAACAATTAAAATAGTACTTGAACCCTAACTGGTGGGTTACACGTAGAATTTATGACATTTTAATAAACATTATTTTTGTTTCATAATTTTTCTAAACAGTATTATTGGATGAACAACTCAAAACTCATGTTATCTGTGGGCTCACACACACTCAGTGACACAATAATAATATTGAACCTCTCTGGCCTGTTTCTTGAAGCTTGTGTGCAGTGAAACCTAAAACTGTAATGGCTGCTTCACTAAGAGATGAGCACCAACTAAAAGCAGGTGGAGTGTGTGTTTGTACTCACAAACCCGCAGGTTTGGTTAGCAGAAGTACAATGGGGGAAGAAAACATGGAGTCACAATGAGGAAGTGAAGTCAGCCGGACAGGACACACCTGAACACAGACGGACCAAAACCAGATCTCTCTCCAGTGACCGCCTTCCTATAGCATATGAATCCAACTGAGACTCAATATAGGAGAATATTTCATGTTCAAGTAGCATTAGCTCTCTTTAGCCTAAAAAACACCAAAATGTTACAGCTACAATATTCAGGCCCAATAGCACTGAATGTTAGCACCACGTCAGAGCTTTGTATCATCAGCACCACTAGCATCAATAAAACCACTAGCATCATTCGTTTCACATCAGTAGCATCAACACATGTAGCATCATCAGCACAATTACCAACGTCATCAGAATGACCAGCATCATTTCAACCACCAGAATCATTAAAATCATCAACATCATGACTATCATTATCATCTACATAATTAGTATTAATTAGCATCACCAGAATCACTAGCATCCGTTTAATTATTATTATTAACATCAGTGGCATCATCATTAGCACCAGCATGTTGTAAATAAGTTACATGTACTTACCACCTGATCAGACTGAACCACTTGTTAACACCGCTAGGTTTCCATGGTCCAGCTGATCAGAGATGAAGAATGGATGAACTCCTGGAGCTGTTCCCTCCAAAAAAAAAAACAATCTCCTCAGAATCTTTAAATGATCTTCAAAACATTACTCTGAACAACTTCAAACTCTACATGTTATCTTTGGGCCCTCACACAATATGACCTTGAATCCAAGCTAACCCAATGACCTTGATTCTGAGCTAACGCAGCTAATGGTGAAGCAAATAATCCTGCAGCTCAGCAGGACAGGACTGAACCTCAAAACATTTCTATCTCTCTCTCTGTAATAACCATCTCCTTAAAAAAAAATCGCCATTGAGCCAGAGTATCAAACACTATTTCATTTTGAATTAGCGTTAGCTTGCTTTAGCCTCATGAATATCACAATGCTCCAGCTATGAATGCTAACGCTAATTAGCAGGTCGCTATCCGTCTTACACGTTCAATTTCAGTAAACTATGACAAATAAAGTATAAAATAGAGGCATGTACATCCTAATTACCTCGTGCAGGTCACAAAAAGTTGATTAGAACCACAAGTAGTGGAAGTCCACGCTAAAACTACTACTCCAGTATTCCTCCTGTCTCTCTCCCTCTGTCTCTGTCTTCTGAGTTGGCGCCCTGTGCTCCCCACAGCACCTGCGCCACTAAGCCCGCCCATTCACAGACACTTCACTGTGATTGGCTGGTGAATTTTAACAGCCAATGGCAAAATATAAATCACATGATTGACAGCCACAGGTCAGTTTGATTATATGTGTAGGTTCAAATATTTGAAAACTTCAACGTAAAAAAAATTGGATGAATTGATCTATCAACTGTAAATAGTATTTTTTAAAATAAAACTTTACATATATTCATCCTTTAAAGCAGCACACAATTGAATATTTTTTAAATGATAAGTAGTATATTTTTTTAATGTTACATGTTATTACACTGTCAGATATTTTTTCTCTTTTATTCTTTTTTTACAGGGCTCTCTCTCTCTAGTGGCCTTAAAAATATTCAAATTGAGCCAAAGTATGAACACTATGTCATTTTTAATTAGCGTTAACTTACTTGAGCTTGGGAAATATCACAATGCTACAGCTATGCCAGAGGCCCAATAGAACCAAATGCTAACGCTAATTAGCAATTCGCTAACCGTCTTACACAGTTTCCCTAAACTATGAAAATTACAGTGAAAAATACAGGCATATACATCATATTCACCTCGTGCAGGTCACAGAAAAGTTTGTCAGTATGACATCCACGATAAAAACTGAATTGCTCCACACACCACTATGCCTCCTGTCTTCCTCCCCACAGCAACTACGCCAGTAACCCCGCCCCGTCCAATACACTTCACTGTGATTGGCTGGTGAATTTCAACAACCAACGGCAAAACAGGAATAACATGATTGAAAAATGACAGGTAACAGGTTAGATTGGATACAGATATATCTCTTAACTGTAAATAGTCATTTTTAGAAAACTTTACATATTATATTCATTTTTTTAAGCAACACACAACTTAATAATTTTTAAATGTAGAGAACTATATATATTTTTTAATTTAACGTCACATTAACAACATGCTTCATGCTGTTGTTTATCCATTTGATGGGAATAAAGCTAATCACTTTTCATATGATGCACATAATTTTGAAGACCGTACTACATTTCTGTGTGTTTTCTTTTATTGTTCTGGAAAAATGTACATGCCACAACTCCTTTTAGGCAAATTTTTTTGCTTCTTGGTCTCAACTTGGTATCAAAATGAAAGGTCCTTCCAAGAAGTCCAAGCGTGTGTGTATGTGTGTAAGGGGAAGAAAGAGAAGGAACGTAAATGATGGTGATATGTTGTGGGAATGTGAGTGGGCCATCCAGGACATGCTACCCCTAACGGATGTTCTACTTCCCTGGTGAAGGCACTGTTCTCGACTCAGTGTCCGGGACTTCAGTCAGGGTCCCTCGCAAACCTCTATGTGTGAGGCAGCAGGATTAAGAATTATTACTTCCTGGCTGGTTCGGAAAAACTTCGGATCTTAGTAAAACTAAAAAAAGTGAGTTTGAAGTTGAGAATCTGGGATTCATGCTCATGTAGTCACACAGTTTAGAGTTAGAATTCTTTTTTAAAAATTTTAAAAAGTCTTTCAAGGACTGTACACGGCCTTGTCCCCTAGGTTCATGGACAGGTATAAGTGTTAATGTGTACATGTGTTTGTGTATAAATGTGTCGACATGTATATGTATACATTTACTTTTTATCTCAATGTGCACGTGTGTGTTTATATATGGGATGGGGGGTGAATAGTGGACACCGACGCCAACGCAACCCAGGCTCTGTAGAGGGCATTAGTATCGTTAACATTAGCTATGGTTAGCAGGTAAATCACACAGAGGGATAATTTTAAATGTACAATAGAATAATGGAACCTTTAAGAGAAACTAAGTCTTCAATTCAGTTCAGTTTTTATTTACAAAGCATGAGATCACAGTAAGTTTCATCTCAAGACAAGAGACACAGTCTAATGCAAGTCAATTACAATCCAAATCAAAGTAATACTTTCAGAATTCAGTTAAATACACCCTAACCCTTTCATTTGCTTTTCAATTGGTCCAAATCATTCTGAGCCACTTCTAATAAAAACAGAATCATATACAAAAAAGGATAAACAGTCAGTTACAAATTCACAATGTTTATGCATTTAGCAGACGCTTTTATTCAAAGCAACGTACAAAGTAGTGGGGCACCGAGAGGTGAACTGGGGACCTCTTGATTTGCAGTCAAATGCTCTACCGTTGAACTATCTCCCCCCCGCTAATTGTTGCAAATATTAAAACCAAACCTGAGTTTCAGTACAAATAAGTAAAATACAATAAGTACTACTTAAGGGTATAAGGTTGTCACTTGTATGTACTGTATGCCCAGCATCAAGACTTCATATTGATAGAAACATCAGGCAAGACCTGCCTCAACACACATCTGATAGAACTGACCCCGTCGCTGGATGAGCTCAGCAGGGGAGTCCATCTCCACAATAGAGCCCTGGTCCATCACAATGACCCTAAGGAGAGAAACAACAACAAAGGACTTGCAAATTGGATTGTTTTTTTTTTATTACTATAAAAAAAAAGCAGATTCAAGACATTAAAAACCAAAACATGACTAAAACAACCATAATGTAGATCCAAATTTGGATGATGTTTAAAGTCTATAAGCATTGATAGACATCAACTTAGAATTAAAAATAGCCACAACAAAAGATGATGTTTCTGTATTTTGAAGAGTCTTTTATCCAAAGTGACTTACAATGCAGGTAAAACATTACAGTTAACATCGAAGCTAACAAAAAAATACATAAAGGGAAATCACTGGTCAGACTTAGAGGAGACAGTGGTGATAGTGTAGACACAGTGGAAATCCTAAAGTCCATATATTCAAAAAGATTCTTGTAAATTCCTGTACTTTTTGGTTGATTTCCAAACCATCTTCCTTAATTTCATAATATTTTCTTGATTAAATAGCATTTAATAGCAATTAACATTTCTTTGTTTAATTTCTACTTCACGGTATTTTAGCAACCAGTTTACAGTTGCTAGGTGCACTGTGCCCCCACAGGGAGTGGTACATCCAATGGTGAAGGATCAAACTTTTACATCTAGCTTTTACATCCCCTCAACTCAGACCATTTCTAAAACATTTGAACCATTTCTGTTCTGGGTTAAACAAACACCATTTTGTTCGCTACTGTAAAACAAATTTGGAGAAGTTACCATCAACCTTCTATTTACAATGTGAAGTATATCTGATGCTGTCATATTGAATCATGTAACTGACAAAACAGTGTGGTACATGAACGTGATAAATTATTTAAATAGATATATCTGTCACATACACGAAATTCAGATATTCTTGATGTTTTCTTTTACATATTTCAAAGTATATTGTGACAAGTGACTTTATCCATCTGAATTTAAACACTGCAAAATCACTTTTTTTTAAATGTATGGTTATCGGGGTAAAGATGTAAAGAGTAAAAATAAATAAAGTAAGAGGTTGATCTGCCGTGCTGATGGTTCTAACCCGCAGTGAGTTACCTGGTATTGTCCATGATGGTGTTGAGGCGGTGAGCTATGGTCAGAACTGTACAGTCAGCAAACTGACTGCGAATGGTGGACTGAATCAGCTGGTCAGTCCGCAGGTCCACAGCTGCTGTTGCTTCGTCCAGAACCAGGATCCTGGTCTTCCTCAGCAGAGCTCTGGCCAGACACAGTAGCTGCCGCTGACCAAGGCTAAAAGCGTTGGGAAAGTATGTGGATCACCTGCTGCATGTATGTCACAGCACACTGAATAAAGTTCTGTCTAAGTCTAAGTCTAATCCACCAGACCACAGTGGATCAGAGCTTATTGGTGCACGCCACGGTGATTCCCTCAAGCATTTGTTAGGAACACTGAATAATGAATGTACTCTGTTTAAACAAGCATTAAAATCATATCAACATTTTAATCGGACTATGGTTCCTAGCAGACACAGAAAGACAGATTTTTAATCATTTTCTATGCAGCAGCTATTTCTGCCACTAAAATGAACAGCCAGGAAATAACTGCACAGTTTATTTTGAAGTTATTTCTGGCGGCATTAACATAAACTCCTCAAAGAAACACTTGTGCTGTATAAGGCCTATAAGGAGCCTTGGGGCTGAATGCCAAGATTTTAGTAAATCTGAACCAAGACCTTTGGGATATTTAACCAAATCGATGTCGTTACCTTCCACACAAAAAAAAAAAAGGTTTTTTAGAATGGGATTGAAGGGAAACCAACATTTATTTTTTTTTGAAGAAAACTACTATCTCCTCAAAGAAGTTTTTTTATGTAATTGGCATGGAGTTTTGAGACGTGTTAGATTATTACAGTCCTTATGATTGTCCCTTGTTGTGGTCATGAGAAATATTTATCCCATCAATTAAAAACCTCCCTGTGTGAATTGCAAGCTTTCAGATACCTCACAGAAACTCTTGTTTTCTGTCCAGTGAAATTGGACAGAACTTGTTTCTTTGGTGTAAATGTCTAAGCTCCAAAATGTGTATTTTTGCTTTGTGTTTCCATATTCAGGTGATCCCTCGGGAGTGGTAACACTTTTTAGTGAACGTACCTGAGGTTCTCCCCCCCCTCACTGCACTGATAATTCAGTTTCAGTGGCAGTGCTGACACAAAGCTGCTGAGATGTGCCAGTTCCAAAGCTTTCCATAGATCTTCATCCGGGAATTTCTCAAATGGATCCAAGTTCATCCTGAGGGAGCCGGAAAAGAGCACTGGATCCTGAAAATGAAATAAACTGTGAAACAAAGCAGCAGACTGCAACCTGCTTGGTTAGAGTTAGGACCAAATGTCTAACATCCCCACAGGTCACAGGAACAGGATTGTGTCCTGCATCAGGACTGGGAATGTTCCGCACATGCAGATTTTCCTATTCTGATTAATTTCCCAAGGCATCCTTCATACACGCTGAACCTGTATAGACATGTATAGACATGTATGTATGTATATGCCTTTGTTTTGCTTATGGAGCCTGTAACAAAAATAATTTCCCTCTGGGATTAGTAAAGTATTTCTGATTCTGATTCTGATTATGAACCTGTGTGTTGTGTGAACAGCTGACCTGAGGAATGATGGTGATTCTGGACCTGAGATCGTGGAGACCAAGCTGAGAAATATTGATCCCATCGATTAAAATCCTTCCCTTAGCCGCCTCTAGAATTCTGAAGATCCCCAAAGCCAGAGATGATTTTCCAGCTCCTGTCCGTCCAACAATCCCCACCTGAAGGCAGATCAAATTTATCTGAAACTAGTGACATTATCTCAAAAATAGGTGCCATGAAATAACTGTATTTAACTCTGGACAACAAACCTTTAGTAGCAATTAAATGTATGTTTTTCTCTTTTTCTTTTCAGAGTTTGGGATGTTTTGAAACTCCAAAAAAGCAGCAACTCTATAAATAATGGCTGAATAAATATTCAAAGAACAATGTAAGAACAACTTGTCAAATGGAGGGATGAATCCTCCCCAGAGCCTGGAGCCCCACAAAACCATCTGACAGGGAACGGAGCCAAAGGCAGCAACATCCAAACAAGAGCTTTGGGATGTCCTTTAAGCTGGAGCTGCTTAAAGAACGGACTCATGGCTGCTGGAGGAATGAAGGAACTCTGAGCAAATATTCACTTAAAGTTTGTAAGAATAGACTTTGTTATTTAGAAACAAAGATAGAGGAGGGGTCAGATTAGGCTTTCGAAATGGAAGCTAAATCTCAATATGCCTTTCTCAGGCGTCAGAAAAATGTCGCTCACCTTTTCCCCATCCTGGATGTTGATGCAAATGTCTTTCAAAGCCCAATCCAAACCCTTTCGGTACTGTAAACCGTAGGCTTCGAACTGTATGGTTCCTGAAGTTGGCCAGCTTGCTGGTAGTGAAGATCCTTCAATGCTCCATGCTGCCTGGAGGAATGTTTCAGGACAGAATAATTAGCAATGACTACAGGTTGAAACTCCAATGAACATTTATCTATATGTTTTTAGCTGCTTAAAAATGCATTAATGGGCTTCTGGTCTGAGTAAAACACACTTTAGATAAACCAATTTAGCCGTTTACCTCTTTAGGCATGTTGTCATACTCTTTAACTCTTTCTACTGATACGATGTTGTTCTCTACATCAGTCCAGGAACGAACAATCCAGCTCAGGATTCCTGTAACCTACGCAAATATAAATGTAACAATGTGACATAATAACGTTCCAATCAAAGTAATGCTTCCGTTACCAGACCCACACCAGACTGCTGAAAGGGGAAATTGTATGTTTACTAAACGGATCCCTCTTTCCTAACCTGAAGAGAGTGTGACACTGCCAGTCCTACGATTCCCGGGCTGAGTTCTTCTCGACGTTGTACAGAAAAGATAGCAGCAGCCAAAACCAAGAGATTTCCCAGAAATTCAAGGTTCACGGCCAACCACCTGGCAGTATCATGGCAAAAGGGAATTTAAGGAAAATATATTCATTAGTTAAACTAGAAAAGCACTCCAGGCCAACCGTGTCTAACTATCCTGAAACCATGCGTCTTAAATATTAAGGAGAAAAAACTACAGTAAAATGTTATCCAAGCATGGTAGCAAAAATAAACGTTGTTAGCAATGGGAGGATTTTACCTGGTGGCAACAAAGCGAGGAAAATAGGCTTCCTGATTGTTGTCAATACGACTGTCGGCCTGCGAGATGAACCGCTGCTGTTCGCCAAAGGCTCGGATCACGCTGGCGCCCTGAACAGTCTCGTTGAAATGGCTGTAGATTGGAGAGCGACTTACTGCCTCCAGACGTCGCAGCTGACACGATGAAGCCACGTAGAAGCTCTTCAGAACAG